CTGGGTTAAGGTTGAGTTACTGGTCTCACTGACCTCGGTTACGGTAGAGTTACTGGTCTCACTGACCTGGGATTACGTTGTAGCTGGAGTGCTGTTCTTGTAGGTTCTTGTAGGACTTCATGATCAGAGTCTTTCCTTGGTTCCCTCCAGGCTCCACCGGCATGCTGGGACCAGGAACCAGTCTGATCTGTAGAGGTCTGGAGCGCCCCGCTCTGGCTCGCCCAGGACCTGCAACACATGGTCATATTAATTTAGGCAGGCAGACAGAATAGATCATTCTGTTTTAGCCAAACAAAAAGACAACTTGCTGTCTAGCAGCCAGATGGTGATCTTACTGAATTCTTCCCTTGGGACTGACTTTCCTCGTTCTTATCAGTGGCATATGAAAATAATCCGGAAATAAACTGATTCCAGATAGTCCCATAAAACCAGCAGGAGGCCAGAGATGCTCCCCTGTGGGATTCCACATGTTGTAGGGTGTTCTGGTGTTGGTTCTGGTGTCATTTAAAGTTTTTACATCAGAAAACAAGACTGCAGTTCTAATTGTGACGGCCAGAAAAACATTAGAAGATGTTAGGACAGAGCTCAAACATGGTGACCCCACGATAAGCTCAGGATTTATGAGACTAACTGTGCTCAGTAGCTGTTGATCAACATATTGCTCCATTATCTGCTGCTAAAACTGCAATGTGTCCTTTTTACTGACTGTTTAGTGAACAAGATGCAACAGACAGTTTAAAAGGTGATTTGTTTTCATTCTTTTTTTTTTATGTTCGGCTTGCATTTTCTCCTCTTTCCAGTCTTCGTGCAAAGCTAGGCTTACGCTGTACTGGATGCACAGAGATTAAACTGATGTAAAGTCCTCTTGTTAGCCATTGTTCAGTCACATATCAGTGTTTTTCTTTAAGAGGCAGAGTCTCACCTGGTCCGTCCCTCTTCCTCTTCCCCTTGTGGATTTCCCCGTCCTGGTTGCGAGGTCTGTTCCTGGCCTGAGCGTTCGAGACGGTCACAACCACCAGCAGCCACAAACTGGCCGCCATCAGCCACCACCTCATCCCTGCAGAGCAGCACAGACTAGGCTCAGGCTGCCTTTCAGGAACCTTTACCTCCATTGACGTCTTCACTGTCGATGGGTGTTGATAGAAAGTTATCTCTAGATAATACCAAAGCAATGCTTTTTCCAAAGCCTTACATTGAGAAATGCAAACATCATTTTCTACAAAACTCTTTTTCTTAATTTCATAAGTTCTCAAATACAAATTTAAAAAAAAAGCTTAAATTGTAAATGTAGTCTAAACACGAGCCTCCGGACACTTTTCAATACGCAGCATACTACTAATGCTCTGAAGACATTTTGGTCTACACCCAAACACGAAATGTGTTCAATACCCATCCTCAGACTTCACTGGTTCCTCAGTAGGAACCCAGCAGGTTAATGAGATGTACCAAAGACAAAAGGAAAATATAAAACTGTTCATTCTCCCAACAGCCATTCAGAAACGCTGGGGTAGCCAATAATCAGTCCAGGGTTTGAGTCCAAACAGGGATTCGTCTTTTCTCTCAACTGTCAACTCTCAATCAAAACATAAAATCCTGAGGAGAAACTATGGTTTTTCTCGTTTGAAATGAATTTAAATCCAGAATCATTGCAGAAACCAGCATCTAAAACAACTGGAACCAAACAGACGGATCATGTAGATAATTAAGACAGAGGTGTACCTGCAGCAGCTTCCTGGACAAAAAGAGCTGTCAGTGCTGTAGCTGGCCCTCATATACTGTAGCTGTCTGCTGGGGTCCTAATGGCCTAATGGTCGGTTCCTTGTGTGTGTCTGTGTGTGTGTGTGTGTGTGTAATGACTAGTCTATACACAGCAGTCCTGTCATTATTAAAGCAGAGGCCCGATGCTAACAGACACCTTCACACACCTGATAGTTGCAGCAGATTGAACTACTTCTCTATATCGGCCTCAATAACAAAAATAAAATGTAGCTCTGCCCCAGTGCATGTTGGGAGCTGTTGTGTTTACTCGTAGGAGCTTCTGATTTGTTGGGATGGTGCCCAAAACACGGATGTTTTTCTCAGGAGTTGGTGGAGACTCCCGAGCTAAAAGAAGAGCCACTATTTATATTCAGGCTCTTTAGACCCAAACACAACAAACAGATGATAACGGGAGGCAGCTATTTGTTAACAGAACTGAGCTTATTGGGGGTCACTCTCAGACCACATTTCTACCTGATCCTCAATTCAGTGTCAGATTCTGATTCTGATTCTCATCAAACTGTGATATACATATATGCAAAGTGAGTTGCACTTGCAAAGACGTCCACATTCAACGTATCAGTGGTTTGCAGAAACAACAATGCCAAAAAAAATGTTCCTGCCGTCTGGGCTTGACCTGTCCAACTAAGACTTTTAGTGGCTTAATTTTGCCCAAAATCATCCCCTAAAAAGACAGTTTAGTCAGCAGTAAATTGAGATATCTACCATGATAAGACTCCGCCCACTCTCTCTCTCTCTCAACCATTCACATCAATCATTCACTTTTTCTTTTAGATGAAAACCAAACTTCAGTCTGCAGCGCCACAGACTCTGAGCCCCTCCCCCCTCAACTCCAGTGAGCCAATAGGAAACCAGAGTTCAGTGCTGACAGAGAGAGAGAGATGTACTCTATGTAGACGGAGGAAAAGAAAACAGGAGGGAGGGGAGACAAATGGAAAGTATTCAGCAGTTCAGTTTCTGGATGAGCAGGAACAGACGGAGAGACTTCCAGCAGGAACAGCAGAGGATAAAAATAACCTGGAGGCAGTTAGTGTGAAGTTTAATGAAACCCAGGCAGCGTTAGAGATGAAGTTTTCCTCTGTTTGCTTCCCTCAGTTTCCCTCTTATTGACTGGGCTTTGGGAAATTGTTAGAATTACTTCTGCACACCACCGACTTCCTTTTAGATGTGTGTATGTTTATAAATTACATTTTCTTCACACTAGAGAAACGACTCCACACAGATTTTTAGTTGGTGTCGTTCTCCCTCCACAACTCCACCAGGTTCACCTTCACTGTGAGCTGGTTCAAACCAAACCAGAGTCTACTAACAATTACTTTCATATCACTTAATCTGTATTTTTTATTGTTTAGTCTATTAAAGACTCCTCCCAGTTTCATGTGCAGTTTAGCTTCTGTTTCTTCAGCATCTGTAAGCCCGTCTGAGTGTCTCATGAGTCCCTAAAAACATCAAATCTTTATGTGCTTATCGTTAAACAATTGAGTATCTGAAGTCAAACTACTATCAGGAGCATCAAACCACTCGGTAGCTCTTCGTAGCTGCAGCATTGTGATCTTTATTTCCCCTCTCTGATTGACTTTGTGTCGTATCTCTGATGAGTCTTCTGGTCCACAATGTGTGCTCCTCTCCTCAAACACTTAGTGACACTCTGGACGTGTTGGTTTGTCCAATACTCTTATATGTTAAAATACTGGTTGTCCTGCTCCAAACCAATGCATGGTGCTTACTCTTGCGTTGGTTGTAGTCATGATCGACTGAACTGCAGCCGATCACTAAAGTATCTGGAACTTTCATTTAGTATCACCTCTGAACAAACGTACTGTTCCAATATCCGTACTACCGTACTACCATACTACCATACTAATGTACTATTTAGTATGTCCCAATACATAATACGTCAAATGCAGTGTGCCAAAAATAGCAGGATGTCCTTCTACATCCGGTCACATATGCAGAATGCAAGCCAGCCTGCTTTTCTAGCTATTGTGACCCACAGTCTTTAGCACAGAAGATATATGAACAAGAGGGTCACAGTTCAAGGCGCCATGTTATGATGATGTGTGTACGTCAGAATTAGCTTCATACTGCATGCAACACTTCAGACAGCTGGAGTACTAAAAGTAAGAAAAAGTGTCCCAGCAACTCGTCTCCAAATGAAGCAGAGAACAGTGGAGACGAAAGAAGAACGAGATACACTTAGTACACGTTAGTGACAAAGACTCTCCTCACGTCTTCTAAATTAAGTATGAAGCATGAAGTGTGTGTTCTGCTACCCAACGAGAGCCACTTTGTTACAAAAAGCTTCGGGTTGTGTGTCCTTTTGTGTCTCGCATTTGGCAGTCGGTCTCAGGTCTCGCAACAACTTTGAGCTGAAGGTTCAGGTGCAGAAGTCTTCTCCACTCTGAACCTGATTCAACAATCTCATATTTTAGGAATACAAACTGATCAAAAGAAAATGCAACTGACTCTGTAAAGTGCTGCTCTGGTAAATGTGCTCCTTGTGGGAGTTGTGTTGTAATGTTGCATGACATTTTTTTTTTTTAAATAAATCCAGAACTGAATTTGTTTCGATAATTACTGAGAAATGTCTCTAAACCAGGAAACCAAGGCAACATGAATGGAAACCAGGTTATTTTAGAGACAGAAAAGGTCAAACCTGAATACAAATGTTCCACCACATTTACTTATGGCACTCCCCAAATGTCCGCTGAGCTCATTGAACTTGATCACTGAGCTGAGGGGAAAGTTGAGGAATGTTGCATGAAAACCAGGAAGAGCACCGACATGTTCATATATGTTAAGAGTAAAACAATCTGGTTCCTTTAGATCCGTTCTGGTTCGGGTCTGAAGGACGAGCCGTTAGCAGTTCTGTTCAGAAGTCACAGATAAAAACTCTTTGTTTGTTTTTTCTTCTTGTCTTTTGGACCTGTGATGAAGGTCATCTACTGCAACTGAAACAACTGTTTACAAACCATCGCAAGAAAGAAAGACAGACAAGCAGACAGACAAGCAGACAGACAGAGAGGGGAGGAGTTGAGGAGACAGACAAACGGACATTAACTCTACTTTACCAGCAGTTTGAAGGCGGCTGCAAGACTTGAGGCCAAATTCTTCCACCCTCTTTTCTCCTCCTCTGGTTCTGCAGGAGCTCCAGGAGGTGTGTGTGTGTGTGTGTGTTTTGTGTCTGTGTCTCAGATCGTAGAGAAGTCGTGTGGAGCAGAGCAGGCTAGAGCTTTGAGGGGAAAGTCAGGATTTGTTCTTCAGCTGGGACAAAGAGAGAGAGAGGGGGGGGGGGAGAGAGAGAGTAATAAACAAACAGACAGACAGAGAGAGAGTGAGACAGGTCTGACATCTGTCTTTCTGTGAGGGAGGACACTGCCAACACGCTGCAGAATATCAGAGGATGACAGTAAAGCGGACCAACAGGAGTTAAACATTCACATGTTGCACAGTGAAAAGGTTTGTTAAATATGAAACATGTTGTGGATACAACAGTAAAAGTCTGAACGAGGTGAAGTAGCTCAGAGGTCACACTAGACCAAACATCCCACTTCAACGTCGACTAGAAAGACTTCATGTGAGAAACTTTTCACAGATGAAGGAAAGTCCTAAAGGCACCAAAACCGTCCAGAACGAAACAACAGTAACAATCAGATTATAAAATGAGAGAATATGATGATCAGAGGAGGAAGAGGAAAATATATTGATCATAACAAATGAACCAGTACAAATATTTCAGTAATCACGGAGATTCAGTATTTTCCGTGGTGAAGGACAGTAAGTTTGAAGCTGGAACTTGCTGATAGTTCACGTTTAATTTCAAGAATAAAACTTTAGCTTGTTTCATTCCAGAGGTTTTAAATCCCAGAAATCCCTGAAACTCCTCCCTATTAGTGCACTTCATCAACTCTCCATCACTGTTTTGAGTGTCATAAAGTGTCAAATATATATAAGGTCTTAAAATATAACAAAAAATGAACATTACTTTCTGACAAAAAAAATCCCATAATGCAATTCTTCCCTTTTTATTAGACCTGAAAATCAACATAAGCCGACACTGCACCAGTGATGGCCTGGGAAGTTTTTGAAAATAGACATAAACAGACATGGGTCATTGAAAGTGCTTACATTTATATATTTTGTGCAAGAAAAGTATTTATAAACGTTTTTAGGTTAATCAATTCATAATTTAACCTACAGCATGTCATCAAAGGGAAGTCTTTAAATGTCCAGAACCCCAAATATTCAGTTTACAAAGATTAATGACAAAGAAAGGAAGCAGATCCTCACATGGAGAAGATGTAAATAGTTCATGAGCTGCTTTATTGAGTTTTTCCTTTACCAGAGTTGAGAGGATGAACAGCTTGTAAAGCTCTCTGAGAAACATTTGTGATATTAGGCAACACACACATTTGATTGAAAAATAACTGGAACAAGTCAAAACTGAACCTAAATCAACCTGAACTCCAGATTAAATACATACGAGCAGAACAAACCAACAATAACAACAAGAGAGGAACAAAGTGAATAAAAACACAGCAATGGAGACCTGGTTCTGGTCTGATCTGGACTAGAAACTTCTGATTACACACACACACACGGCTGCAAATGCCTCTTGGTTGAGTCACCTGGACACACCCCTCACCTGTTGGACACACCCCTAACCACTGAAGTATACTGGAAAACGTGTGTTTTTACAGAGTAATCATTTCTTTCAAAATGTTGTAAAGTTCATAAATGTTTTCTGATGAAGTTTCCGTTGAACAACATTTGAGCCTTTGAGTGTGAGGTCGTGTTGTTGTTTCATCCACTTTAAGTATTGGTCCTGTTTCCTGTCCACTCGTTGGTGCACTTTACTGTTGTGACTCTGGTACTAACGTGTGTTGTGTGCTTCTGAGAGGGGCCCAGTGTTCAGGGGACGAGACGTATGTTGTAGCGCCCCCCGCAGGCCAACAGCAGTCATGGGTAGCGTTACTACAGTTTATTATAACCAGCATTCAGTAAATTAACGAATAATATTGTACACAAACTTGTCATGAAACAGAAAATAACTACACTGAAACAAGAGAAACAAAGTAACTCACGTGTTTGATGAAACATCCAGTAGTGACAGTGTTCTGTAAAACATTTTGTGTATATTTTTCTAAATTGATCCTTTATCCTTTATTTTTCCAAACTCTGTCATTATTATTTATATATTGTCTTTGCTGAAAACACTCAGGACCTGTATTTATCAAACCGCTAAAAGAGAACATTTGTATTTAAAGGATATTTTCACAGTTTTTAAGTCTGTCTTGAAACAACACAGTCATGTCCGTATGTACATTGAACGGGTTTATGGTTGCTGTAACTGTTTGTTTCTCTCTCTCTCTCTCTCTCTCTCTCTCTCTCTCTCTCTCTCTCTCTACAGGAGAAGTATCCCTCTGTCGTCTCTCTTCCTGGAGGCTGCAGGTCGGAGGTCATGATCCTGAACCACCCTGAGCTTTCTGGGTAAATACTCTCCTCCTGGTGGAGCACAGTAACACACAACACTGAGCTGTCTCCTCCGCTGACATGTGTGTTTATTTACAGCTGCGTCCTGTTCGTTCATTGGTCGGTGGACGTCTCCAGAGAGGGCGGAGTCTCTCCGAAGATGGAGCTGCTGACAAAGATCCCTGAGAGAGGTGAGACCATTTACTGTACCTGAACTCTCTCTACTACCTGTAGACAGGAAGCAGGGCAGAAAAACTGAACAGTACCAACTGTTTACTGGGATGTAGCTTTGGTTCTTCAACTCAAACAATACATTAATCTGGCAAAAAAAACACATTTTAGTTGTATCTTTGTATGGAAATATAAAATACTAGTGCTGTCTGCAACAAGCTCCACCAATAAAGGATGTTTAAAGTAAGGGGACACGTCTGTAAATGACACTTTTGACTGAATCAGCTTATTATGTTATTAATCAGGACAAAGAAACCAGCAGGTAAAATGTCAACGTCAAACAAATTTAAACTACACTGAGTTTCTGCTAAAAACATGCTTTAATTTACAGGTGTGTCATTTTCTAATAATTGACAACAAACTAAACTGCTTCCTTGTAGAACTTTGTGTTTTGGTACCAACTGTGGAGAGAAAACGTAGAAGGGCCGATGAACCCTTCCTCACTTCCTACTCCCAATACATTACATTACATTACAGGCATTTAGAAGACGCTTTTATCCATAGCGACTTACAATAAGTGTATTCAACATCGGTTTTCGAGAGAACAACAAGTCACCAGAAGTCAGAAGTGCATCTCCTTTCTTCAAACAAGCATCTAAGAGCATAAACCAGAGCCAACGTACAGTGCAGAAACAAACAAATGCAATAAGTGCCACAAACTAAGATGAATACAATAAGTGCAATAAGCTAGTATGAATACAATAGATGCTAAGTAAGTGCTAAGTGGAAGGCTCAGGGACCTCTGAGCGACGGGGCGACCAATCGCCCCGAGGCAGCAGAGCGAAGTGGTCGGGCGGGGGTGTAGGTCTTGACCATGGCCTGGAGATAGGATAACTCCCTTACTCAAACCACACCGACCCTCAAACTCTGACTGTATTTTGATCTCAACTACACACCTGGAAAGTTTTATGACGGTATCTTGTGCGGTAACAGAATCTGACAGACTTATCCATACCTGGCACTCGAGTACTCAAAGGCTCCTCTGTGGTAGTTCCCGTAGTGGTAGTCGGTCTCTCCAGGGCCAAATGTTACCGTGATGACACTCACAGGGTGATAGTGAGGTTATTAAACTGCAACAACTACTTTCATTATGGATTATTATATAAATGCATCTTTTTTTATTGACAGAATGTCAGAAAACAAGTTGTTGAGGCCAGTCATGATTCGTTTTATCTTATCAACATTTTCACTTTCATGTTAAAAATCTCAAAGAAAAGCACCAAATCCTCACATTTGAATATCTGGAACTAGATAATCTATTTGCACATTTTATTTACCTGAAAGTGACTAAAATAGTTAAACAAACCACTACGAGACCACTGTCTCTCTACTTAGTACCAAATGACTGGGTTGACTAACTTATTTGAACATTACAAAACACTTATTTTGTGTAAAAAGATTGAGTTTTTCTGACTAACTCTGTTCAGCAGAACAATGATCTCAGTGCTTTGTCTTCCTCTCTGCAGCGCTGCAGCTGTTTCCCTCTCAGCCTGTAGGCGGCGCCGCTGAGGCCTTTCAGAGCCTGCTGAGGATTCTGGGACCTGAAGCGGCGATGGAGTCCGTCATCATGGCGGTCAGCCTTTCACAGGACACATAACTCACTTCTTCTTCTCTGAGAACTGGTTCAAATGTAAAACAAGACACAAACCTCCGATACAGAACAAAGAAAACACACAGCGACGGTTTAGTCCCTTAGAAATCTTTATTCAATAGAAAGAGCTCAGCCGTGACGGTTGTAACAGCAGAGCTCACTGGTCAAAATCTACAAAAATAAATAATTTAAATACAAAATGCAGGACAGCAGCGTCGCCTTTTTGTATTTTCAAATAGTTCTCTCCTCTCGGATATTTACACACACAGTTATGATAAGTCTGTAGCATCACAGTGCTGTGATGTTTCTGCAGGCCGACGCTCAGGCAGCAGGCGGAGGCAGAGGCAACCGACCAACCACACGGCAGCTCAGCTGTCGGAGCTCCGCCTCAGTGAGGACAGTTTGTTTTCTCCCGATTACTGGAACATAATCTTAAAGGAAATGATTTGTCAGCCCCAGTTTGTGTCTGTTAGTATTATCGTTAATTATATCTGATAATCTGAACCCAACAACACATTTTAATGACACTTAAATACATTTTAAGAGATTTTCCAGAATCCTTGAAAAATTATATTCAGTCTTCTGCACGATGTCAGTGGAGTTTGTGAACATGTGACACAGTCCTGAATTTACTCCTCTAGGACTTCTCCATGTTCACGTTAAAGTTTAACTATAAAACTCAATCTGCTGATGGAGGAAGTGTAGCTTGAACTAGAGAGGTTTCGTTTTTCTCTGGATAAAGAAATAAGATTTCAATTTGAGAAAAAAAAAAAAATAAGAAAAAAACTGAATATTTATATCCAGATTAACGGAAAAGTATCATGTTTATTGACCCGGAATTTATCTTTCAGGTAAAGTTACCGCGTGTTTTTATTCTACACGTTTTAATCTACGGAGGAACGTTTGTGGTCCAAACATTGTCATGCATATTTAGAAAGCGATGTGTGTGAAGGTACGTCAGATTATTACACTCAACACCTGCAAAGACTTGATGGACGCGTTATCGTAATTACAGGTTTTTTTCTCTCAAAGCTCCAATATATCCGACTAAATCATTTGGAAGTACCTGAAAAAGCAAATAAAGATGGACGCCAAAGTTGGTCGTTCAAGATACCTGAACGCTAAATGAATGGTTAAATAATGGTTAAATTGCTATTTTCATCAACACAGCAGTCACACAACTGACTTCAGCCGTCTGACAACATGAACCCTCATAAACGCAATATGATGAGACAAACTGAGGCTGCTTTTCACGATCACACCGACAAGATTAGGAAAATAATCTGTCCAGTTGCAGCATTTTGTGATCAGATGATTTTTGCGTTAAGTTTGTATATTTGTCACAATGTTTAGAAGGTATAAAACAAATTAAATCAAAGCCATAGTAACATCAGGTCGTCCTTCCATGAGCCTCTGCTTCCCCGTCATGCTGCCTGTTGCGTCTTCAGTTCAACATAACGATCAGTGGTTGGTTCAGGTCACTGCGGTCCACTCTCCAGCCTTCCAGCTCCTCCGCCTCACAGGCAATGAAGGTTTCGGGCCAAAAAAAAAAAAAAAGGCGGGCGACGCAATTGGTTAAAAGGTCAGAAGTTCTGATTAACAGAACTGATGACCGGGTGGACGTCTCACGTCTCAGTGATGGACGCCGCCGTTCACCATCATCAAGATGGACTGTGAAGGGTTTTCTGTCTTGTAGTGTGATTTTTGTTTTCAGGCGTTTTGATTGGCTGACTGAGGCGGTGGAGGGCGGAGAGCGGACGCTGTAAACAGGAGCTGAAATCAAGTGTTACCAGTTTATCTGAAGCCTCCGTGAGCGCTGCTGGTTCAGAGGACGATGACGTCACCAGGAGAAACAATCCGACCATGAGCAACATCTGGACTGGAGTGTTAAAATTACAACACTCAACATCTGCTGGTGGTGACAAAGAAGTTAAAAACGGGTTGCTAGTCACCGACTCCTGATGACATCACCGTCCCGTCTTCAGAAACCTCCCAGCGCTCCTGAACGCATCATTTTGCAAACATCAGACGACCCTGTGGAGCTTCGGTTTTCGAGTCGTCAGGAGTTCGAGGTACTGAGAGTTCACGGTCGCGTCCACAGCCGCTCTAAGACTGAGACTAACCCACATGGCTTAGTCTCCGATCTCAGCTGTGAACGCAGACTGTAACAAAACGAGTTTTATCAACACACACACACACACACACACACACACACACCCCTCCAGTCTTACCATAACATTTAGGCACATGGACGAACGCACAACAAGCCACTTTTGGCACAAAAACCCAGTGGAGCAGCAGCAGCATGAAGCTCGGCCCGTCTCTCTGTTACCCAGAAGCCTTTGCCCTGGTGGGTCAGACGCCGACATGCGCCGACCTCTTCACTTTAAAATGCTCTGCAACCGTACGGTCACATTAGTCTTGTGTTCAGTGATGACACACTGCATCGGTGTTTCTTATTGGCCGGCTTAATCTGTGGTTTGGACTTCACTTGTGAATAAGAGACGGAGCAAATATTCTCAGCAAGTGTAATGTGACCGTATGTTTAGAAAGCTACGCATCACCAGGTTAGTAAACACGGGAGTGTTATACGACTACTTAAATGCTGCTTTTCTTCCAACAAAACAGAATATGACAACAAGAGTTAAAATAATGTGCTTTTTTCCCCCCAAACACAAAAGGTGTTACGTCAGAGCAACCAAAGGCAACTGGACACAAACGTCTCCGCTAAAGAACCCTACAAGAGCTGATTAGTCACAAGTCCCAGCTGGACCTTTAAGGGTCAGTTTACCCAAATTATTTAAAGATATACACTCAGTACTAAGAAGACAACAGCTGTGTCACTAATGCAACCCTGTTAATTAAACTATATGCTCATTGTCGAGGTGTTGGTGTATTATGGACTGTAATATATCGAGCTCCGTATAACTTAACCTTTGACGGCATCAACAGATTAACAATAAAAGTTTAAAGGTAAAATGAATAACAGGGCTGATGTACTTGATTGCATTATATTATAAAGGTGTACCTAAGAACGTGGCCACCTAGTGTTTTTTACTCTTCCCTTTAGTGAACTCTCCATGCTGATTGTTTTGTTTTTATTTCTCCAGATTTTGAGATTTCAGCCACGAATTTAGTTTCTGTTGGCAAAGAAAAGGACATTTTAAGAATTTATATTATTCCAAATGAATAGTTTCAATTAAAACACGTCACCGTTGTCTCTTGAAGATTATTATTACTCTTTCGTGGCAAGTTATTTATAAAATGTCATTTTTCAATGCTGTGAGAATCAAAGGTTTATACTCAAAATCTAGACTCATAAAAGCATAACTGGATAGATTTCACTGGAGGGAAGAGGCAAGGCATTTTTTATTATTCGGGTGAACTTACCTTTTAACGATACTCAACTCTCCTCCCTAAAAATAAAAATAAAGTCTCCAACATTTGACCTTTAACATCTCGACAGAAAATGCCTGATGAGAAAAAGATGTTAACGACGCCAACAACTGAACAGGAGTCAAAACGAAAGCTGGAGGTCAAGCGTCTCTCGCTGTTATTTGGCTCTCTCTCTTCAATAATTCAACCTCCCGTGGAGTCCAGCAGAGACCTGAATCCTCTCATCCAGATCTGCTGCGAGTTCAATCTGGACATACACAATGGCTCCGCCTCCCTCCACCAGAGGCCCCGCCTACATTCAGTAAATGACATCTTACGTACGTTGACGCCCAACGACCTGCTTTTCGTTCTCCTCTTTTTTCTTCCGTCTTCTCAGAGCTCCGTCAGTCTGAAGACCAAATCTCCCCGTAACCTTTCTAATAAATAAGAGTCGTGACAGAACACAGCGATGCTGGGATTCTCCTCCCGATGGGAGCGGCAAGTTGACGAGAGTCTAGAATCAGTAACAGAAATATCTGGAAGTTGCTTCAACGTCCGTTGAGTTAGTGGTGACTTGCTGAGACAAGTGAAGACAAAGTGCTGCAGTACGGTCGTGTATAAACGGCTCTGGTCTGACGTGACTTTTAGACCTCTGCATCAACACGGCGTCTCTGTTTCAGTCATCAGCGTGGCGTCCGTTAGTCAGTCAGTCATCAGGGGAGTTCACATGGGGTGGAAGAGCAGCGTGCAGTCCTCTCTCTCTGCAGCCGTGAAGATGCCGGAGTGTGGCGGCAGAGAGCCCTTTGGCAAGGCACCGCCGGTCCTCAGGTAGCAGGAGACGATCTTCTGGTCCAGGCGCAGCTGGCTGGGGATGCTGTCGAACGGCTTTGGGTCCAGATCCAAGATGGAGACCGAGTAAGAGAGAGCCGGCAGTCTGGAGGAGAGGAAGTCCCTGAGCCGCCTCTGAGTGGGGATACTGGGGGAGGAGGGGGGGAGGGTTAATGGTTCAGTTTGAACATGATGAGCTGATGTCTGCTCCACCTGGTGGACATCAGATACTACAAATGTTGTCTTCAGGGACCAACATGAATGGTGCATTCAGTTGCCTATTATCAGTGTGATATCAAAAGATTATCTCCAGGAAGTTGTCAGACACTAATAACAATCTGAGTCTGTCAGAGGCAAAAACAATCACTTTGAGTGGACGTAAATTAAAGAGTTTAAGTGATCACACTACAGCGTAATCCATCAATACTGGATCAATTTAAAAATGTGTCATTTAGACAAAAACATGAGAAAATATGTCATTTAAGTGTCTCTGAGTCAGTTAATGGGACTCTTCTAAGTGATCAACACTCTTACCCTTCATCATCCTCCTCTTCCTCACTGCCGGGCACCAGAGCGACCATGATGGAGCAGTCCTTGGCCGTCATGGCCACGCGGTACTGATGCACCTGAAGTGAAAAACACACAGCAGTCAGACATGCGACTATCTTTACGAAGTGTTAAGAGGCTGGAAAGCAGCTAAGTCACACAAAACACCCAACGGTGAATAGGAGTCGCAACATTTCTTCAACCCGTCGCTGCTTCACCTCGATAGTTATGACCGTCAGTTAATAATCTCTCACTTTCCTACTTGATAAATCAGTATTTTCCCCTCAGTCTGTCATTAGAAACTGCACTATCGCTACTGAACTGGATGTTTTTGACAGCGACACGCAGCTCAGTGTTTGTTCTGGTGATTTAACCAGAGTCTGATGCTCCAACAGACGCTCAGCTGACGAGGGGAAATGTTACAGAGTAAAACCTGACGTGAGGTTCTCACCTTTGCGACGGCGTACTCCACCGAGCCGTCGTCCTCAGTCGGACATTTCTGCAGCTTCTCCAGGAAGGCCTCGTTGTACGGCCCCTCCATCTGAAGACGGGTCCTGACACAGACAGGAAGTGAAGCCGGAGACCAGACGGTGCCCCTTCATAAGTGATGGGTGAATGAGATTTTTATCTAAATAAACACTTGTTACTGCAGTTTTTCTTCTGATACTTGTTGACGGTGTGTTACCTCTCTTTGGGGAAGTCCTGCAGGTGTTGCTCCACCCGGCGGTACAGAGGGTAGAGTCCCTCGACGTCCAGCGTGTCCAACATCTGAGTCTGACGGATCCTGAACAAAACGCTGTCGCTGGGTAAACCCTGAGAGCCTGAACAGAGAAAGAGAGAGGGGTCATCTTTTCTGTTCTCATCGCACACTTTCAGGTCAGAACATTACTTTCAATGTTTAAATTAAGAAGAGTACGTAAAGTCTCGCTTAGCATCCAAAAACATGCACAAAAAGATGCGAGTCAGGCTTTCAGTTTCACATAGTTACATAATCACATTCAGATGTTATGGACACAATGTTTGTGTTGAGACGACATAAACGCTTCTTTTGAACCACAAACATTTCTGAGAGGCTGCACACAGATCTACAGAGTAACACTTACTATTCACAGCAGCGTCGCGGCGCTACGGACTCGACTACATAATCAACGTGATTTATAAGAGTTACGAGAAAAGTTGGGTTGAAATCAAAGCGAGGTGTTTTGTTTATTCGATTAATTTCATCATTAATCTTATTGTCTATAGAAAAGACAGTGAATAATGTTTAAGGTGACTTCTTCAAATGTCCAAAATAATAATAAAAAAAAAAAAACGTCAAATAATCACAAAATGTCGTTCATTTTCGGATTAATCTGTGCAGCTCTATGAAGGACGATAAATAAACTAGTGCTTGATTTTGGTTTACAGTCTGCATATTGTTAGTTCGCTGAGTGAAGCTCAAACCACCATTAAAAGAGCAGCTCAGTGGAATCACTAAAACCCGGCTGGACACACAGAACGAGAGAGTCGGGTTGATGAAGGAGGTTCTCACCGGGGCGAATCCTCTCCTTGTTGAACAGACTCGCTTCACAGAAGCTCCGTCCTTCTCCTTGTGAGTCCGTCACCACCTCTCCATCTCCTCCTCCACTCAGCAGAGCGTTCACCAGGACCTACAGACAGATGCTTCATTATGAGGCTTCACCTGCTATCATGGACTGTTGAGTCTTTAAACCTTCATACTAGATTAATCATTGCAGAAAATGTACAAGTATCTTCATTTTTAACATGGGAAAAAAAAAAAAAATGTACACTATCCTTTGTCAATATATCTTGTATATTTCTAACTTTAAACTAGTGTTTTTAAAATAAGAGACCTGATAATAAATATGCAACACTAAAACTGTGACACCTGCTGACTGAGTTTGACATCAGGAACACACTGCAGGTTTAATGTTTTCTGACTCTGAGACATTAGGAGAATGATGTCTGTTGGCGACTCTTGTTGTTGGTAATTCATTAGTTTATTGCTCAGCTGTACAACACTCAATATATTTTCTACTTTCAACTAAAAGGACACTTGTGTATGAACTAGTTTTACCGTGATGAAGTCGTTCAGGACAGCTTTGCTGGTCGTGTGACTGTTGATCCGGTTGTTTCCATACAGGAAGTACGGTCTGAGGTGATGCAGCAGACAGTTCAGGTCCATTGAGTCGTCACTCACCTCCTTACTGCTGTAGATGCACTGACCGCCCTGACACACACATTTAGGGATGAATTCATCAGCATATTTATAACACTGGAGGAGGAGCTAAGTTGTGACATTTACAGCGACTTCAGAGATCACGTTTGGTCTCGGTTCAGATTTCCCATTTGCATTTTGTGCTTATTTATAAATACTCTATATCTTTGTCATAAACAGCACAGCAGTAGCATGTAACACTTCAACTCATTCTGTTAATCCCGCCACAGTTTCTATTCTTTGAACCAGTAGTTGTGTTGATCGACTGGAAGTTGTGAATGAACATTTCCACATCATGCGGTGCGAGAGAGAGACGGTTGTGGTCGTGGTGTCTTACCTTGAAGATTTTGAAGTTGTTCTGAGGTTCTTCTATCAGGTGTCTGATGGCAAAGTGCATTCTCTGTCTGTTACTGAACACAGCGAGAGAAACAAGAGATGTTATTGTTGTTTACATTACGACAGTATAACTGGTCATTTGAGTTCCACACATCTGCCGTAATCTCACCCTGAGAACAAGTCTAGAGGACAGTACAGACTCGGTCTCTTCCACTTCCCATTGGCCACCTGGTGAGAGACAAAGTGATGACGGAAGACATGTCAAAGAGACGCAAGTAATTAATGCAAGAAGAACAGTTTGTTGTTCTGTAGTCTTTAGTTGTACCACCCCTGATTCCGATCTGTCCAAGTAGGCATTTCTCTCTGTCGGTGTGTCCTTCGGACATCTCGAGAACCGTTCATCCGGGTTACTTCATACTTATTTGAGGTATTGCTGTGGACCCACGGGAGTGCATTCTAAAATTTGGTGCAATTGTGGACATGCAAAACATTCAATTTTAATAAACTTTGAATAAAGTGACCAGCACTATTTGCTGCAGCGGGGGCGGGGCTTCAGGGCTCCGCAGACACACAGATAGCGAACCAGTGTTTCACCGGTGTGACCGTGAATAAGCCGAGACTTTGGTGCGTTTGTCCCCCGCGAGTAAGACTGTATTTTCCCGGTGTTATGGCTGAAAAACTAACTTTAACCACCAATGACATTACCGCCAGCTAATTAAAGCCACGCTGTACTTTACAGCCGCAGTAGTTACCACCACTACGTGTTTTTCACCGGTGATTCGGACCTTGAGTAACCTCGATTTGGGCGTGTGACGCATGAGGACCGAAGTAAGAGCGGTGTCCAGAGCAAAGTTGTCTGTATGAGCAACACCACAGGCCAAGCAGTCTTTGATCGATTACAGACATCGGCTGCAGAGAGCACACAAACCCAACAACAGCCAAGTTTAGTTTTGGTTTAAATTAGCTACAGTTGATTTGTGAACTGTGAAAGGGACGAATAAAAATGAAAAGCTGCTGTACAGTTGTACTGCAGCGTGTGTCGTTGTACTGCAGCGTGTGTCGTTGTAC